GTAAGGCACTCAAATGGGCCTGGACTTGGCCTAGCTATGTCCTCCGGCCATGTTTATCTAATTAACTGCACCTAGCAAGTAACTGCACCCTCAATTTTTACAAAACCCAGGAACAGTGGCAAGGAGGGGACAAGTGAGGCTGTCAAAAATAGAAAACAAAGTGAAATCGAGTCTGCGATGCTAAAGCTCCAGCCTCCGTTGGGAATGAAGTGTAAGGATGTCCTGGTTAGTTTTGATTGATCACCCTCCTTCTGATGGGCTTTCACTACCGAGCTGGGAGGCTGCAGCTCCCCGCCTGCTCCCCAGACACAGCATTAACCAGGGGTGCCCTGACTTCCTGCCTCGCTTCCTCCTCCTCCAGCTCTCTGCCTTCCCTTTGCCAAGTCCCCCTCCTCACTCCATCCTCCTGCTCCCAGCATGAGTCCCCCACCCCAATCCAGGCAGGCACACACAATTCAGGACATCACCACTGGCTACAGAAATAGGGTTTCTTCCCCTCTAGTCCTGATTCTCTGGGGAAAAAAAAAAATCCCAATCAAGAAATATTTATATACTGCATGCTTAATAATCACTTCTTTTCCAAGGTTTCTTCCCCCCCCCACCCGCACCCCACCTTCACGATCAACAATTACAATAAATAGCATTTCCCCCCCACCCCTCCAAAGTAAAGTGGCTTTTGCTGTGTGGGGCTTTGGACTGAGTCCATCTTTTTATGTAATATTTTAGCAGGGTTGGATTTTTTTAACTCCCCCCCAACATATCTTCCCTTCCTTCCTTCCTTCCTTCAAACAGTTGCTCTGTGAACCCTCTCTTGTCCCAAGCAATGAAAATAAGCTCCCAAACCTACAAGAACATAAATAAATAAGCCAAAATGGAGGGGGAAAAGAAGAGAAAGCAGGGAAAGAAAATGAAAAAACACTTACCGAGCAAACTTCCAGGGTTAGGTTTTTAAATAAAATGTGTTTTTTAATTTTTTTTTCAAATAAGGTGACTGGGTTGGGAGTGGAGGGGAAGGCATATTCTCAACTCTCCAGCACCGATGCGTCCTTAGCCTTCCCTTCACACTGACGCCTCGAAGCCCAGCTCTCCACTAGTCTATTATTTTCACCAAAATATATGAAAATGTATGCAAATGAAAATCAGCACTAACTGTTCTCCCCTTGTTATATACTTTGGATTTTTTTTTTCCAGACAAAACAATCACACTCGCAAAGGGAGGGGGCGGATGGGGTGGGGCAGCGTGGAGGGGGGAGAGAGGCCGGGGAGCGATTCGAGAATTAAGTACGACGAAAGGGGGGAGGAAGAAGGGGACAGACCTCAGAACAGAAGTGTATTTCTGTTATCGAGGAGCACAACGTTTTGGGGGGCTTCCCATACGCGCACACACACCCTCCTTGAAAAGAAAGAAAGTGGATCTGTTTGCAGAGGCGCTATCACGTTTCATCAGGCCACCTGAGACTGCTTTTGAAAGCGTGTACTGTGAAATTCATAGCAGTAATTTAGACAAAATCCTCACTGTATATTAATGAAAGGCGGCCCCATGGCTCTGTTCCTATCCTCCCCATTCAGTGTAAACAAAACCACGAGACTCTCTTGGTTTTTGAGCCGGATCCAAGCAAAATCGGCAGGAAAGGAAAACATGGGGTGCTGGCACCGACTATTCAAACGTCTGCACCTGGAGATCTCAGATTTATTCAATGAAATCTGTGTTCCATCTTTTATATATACATATACGCATACATAAATATAAAAAGCAACCTTTGGGGGACGCAGAGGAAAAAAATCCGTTCTGTTTGGGGTTTGGTTACCACCGCCTTTGGTATCTATACCTTGGCAATAATGGCTTTGCTAAAACCTACCTACGACGGTATCTCACCCGGCAAGCAGGAGCTGGACGAGAGCCTACATAAATTCTACGCGTCTAGTGTTAATCTTGAGATCACGCAGGGGCTGCCTGGCTGAGGCTGGGCAGGAGAACTCCTGCTTTCACTGAGTTCACTTAACTGCGCTCGGCAGAGGCACGATACAGCGGGAGAGAAGGGCAGGCCCGTTCACATTTTAATCGGAGCGCACCGGCGGCCGCTCCTCGTCTGCGTTCTGGGCCGCCGCTCTGGCTCGGGACTGCCAGATGCAGGCGCTGGCTGGGGGCGGCGGGCGCAAGGCGAGCGCACCCGCAGCTAGGGGTGCGGGGTGCACGCACACGCACGCTCATTAAGAGCCATGTATTTATTGAATGTCCGAGTTGGGTTAGTTCATTGGAAATCCCCGAGGAGGGTTCAATTTGCCCTTGTTTTCGTTGCCACTTTCTCTTTTTTCTTGGTTCGCTGAGGTTCCTCTGTGCAACGTTTCCGCTTGGCCGCGTCCCCCCACCCCACCCCACCCCACCCCCGCTTCTCTCGCCCACCGGGTGCACTCCCCCTCCCGTCCCCCTTAACTCTTTCAGCTGGGTTGGAGCTGAGAAAGCGTTTGTCGCCGCCAGCCCCATCCACCACGCAAATCCATCTGAGACAGAAAGGAAAGAAAAAAAAAAGCACCACCATGCCTAAGAATAGAGAGCGGGCAAACCCCCCACCGCTAATAACACACACACACACACACACACACACACACACACACACACGAGGAAGCGGTGGAGCAGAGAAGGGCGCGGCTAGCCGATTCCAGTTCTTTCGCCCGGCTTCTGCTGCCGCGGGAATTCCTAAAGCCATCGGGGTCGAATACACTTACGATGAATCTATGGGGGAAGGTCGGACTGATTGCTTTTCAAATACATCGCACGGCTCCGCTGACCGGCACCCTCCAAACTCACAAGGGCACGCACGCTACTTGCACGAATCCCAGAGGAGGGAGGAGGGAGGAAGGGAGGGAGAGCGAAGGAGGGAGAGAGGGGGTGGAGGAGCGAGCAAGCGGCGGCAGCGAGCGGTCCGTCTCGCACGCGCGGGCACCGCGCTGGTCCTGGGCTGCAGGTTTCCCAGATGATGGCATCCGAGAACTTAAACAAAGGGGGCCGCCGCCGGCGCGCAGCGGCTGCGGAAAGTTGCGGTGGCGGATTTCCAAGGAGCGCGGCCACGACCCGAGCTCTTGGCGATGCGAGCCCCCGCTTCCCACCCCCGCCGATCAGAGATGGGGGCCGGCTGGTGAAGGGAAGAGGAAACTTTGAAACCACTGGGGACACATCTGTCTATAGGTATTAGCTTGAATGGTACATCCGTGCCGCGCGCTTTACAAATCTCTGGCGGGGCGGGGGTAAGGGGGTGAGCAATCCGACGCGTACTAGGTGGGGTGGGCAGGTTGCTATTTTTCATGTTTCCCTCTTCGTTTTCCTTCTGATTCTCTTCCCCTCTCCCGTCCCTCCCTCCCTTTTATCTCCCCTTTCTTCCCCCCGCCCAGACCTATTGCGAACACCCAGAGCCGCCGAGGGAACGCCAACGTCTGGGCCGGACACTAAGAGTTAAGATGTGGCGGAGGGGGCGGCGGGGGAGGGGCGGGGAGGGGAAAGTGGCGAGGGGGTGGGAGGCTGGGGGACCACAGATTTCCAGCTTCTACGACGCTCTGCCTAAATTAAAAAGCAACCAATCGGAACGGCCGGAAGGGGGGCCTCGCGTCCTGAGCCCGTCATTCCGAGCCTGCCAATCACCCAGCGGGTAGCCAATCAGCGGGGGCCCTGGTGCTCGACTTCCTTGTATTTGGGAAAGTGTGGTGGTGGGTGCGCGCTCGCGGCGGAGGGTAAACATTCGACAGTCCCCGCTCTGAGAGGGAGGGACAGAGAGCGAACTGTCAGATCGGAGCGAGAGCGGGCGCCCGAGAGAGGGAGAGAGAGAGAGGGAGGGAGAGGGAAAGTGAGAGAGGGAAAGAGAGCGCGAACGAGGGCACAGAGCGAGCTCCTGCTGCAACTCTGCTCCAGCACGGCCAGCGCCAGCGCCCGCCGTCGGTGCACTCTACGAGCAGTGCAACGTGCCCACTGGAGTTGTTGTGTATCAAGGATCGATCCCCTATATGCACACACACACCTCCACCTCCACCAATGCACTCTTCTTCCTCCTCCTTCTCCAGACAACTGCTGGGAAAAAAATAAAACACCAACCCCAACCGTCAGCAACAAGGTAACAGAGCGATTCGACATCATTTTTTTTCCTGTTCAATTTTTTCCTTGTTATATTTGTTTCCTAATTTCTGCCCAAAAGGAAAGATGTCGCATCAGACTGTGACTGTTGCGAGGAGAATGAAAAAGGACTCTTGTTTCAGAGGCAACCAAGAGCTCGGGCAATAGCAACTTCAGAGAAATGCACCATCGCAAGAAGTTTTCCTAGGACAGAACAAAACTTGAAACGAGAGGACCAGAGAGGGAGAGCAGGAGCCAGCCTCCCCTCTCCGCATTCGCGAGCAGCCAGCAGCACCACGCCTTCAAGGACGAAAAAGTTTTACTACTCTAAGGGAAAACGAGTGAAATGTGTTCCTGAGGAGGAGAGGAGAGAGCGCACAAGGGAAGGAGCGGACCGGTTGCTGGTCATCCGTAATTTGGCTAAGGAAGAAAGGAGCAGCTTCTTTCTTTGTTATCTCCCGTGAAACCTTCATTTAGCAGGTGGACGGAGCCCCGCGACCGGGCAGAGTCCGGGCTCGCCCGAGGACAGGAGGAGGAGCGGGAACCCGCGCGTCCCGGGAGAGCGCCCCGAGTGCAGGTCCCCGCCCCGCCCGGAGAGCCCCGCTGGAGCGAGCCCAGCGCGCCAGGGCTGGGGGGCGGCCACGACCCCCCCTGAAGGGGGTGGCCACGGAGCGCACCCCGAGAAGCGAGCCCCCCTCCCCAGAGCGCTGCTCCTGCGGCTGCGGCTGCTGCTGCTGCTGCTGGTGACCAAGGCCGGCCGGCGACCCCCGCGCCCTGCCGAGCGGCCTTGCAGCTGCAGCCGGGGACCGCGGCGGCGGCGGCGGCGGCGGCGGCGGCCGCGGCTGCTGCTGCGGCGGCGGCGGTGGTGGCGGCGGTGGGGTGGCGGGAGCGGAGCGGCATGGCCACGGCGGCTTCTAACCCCTACCTGCCGGGGAACAGCCTGCTCGCGGCCGGCTCTATTGTGCACTCGGACGCGGCAGGGGCTGGCGGCGGCGGGGGTGGCGGCGGCGGTGGCGGCGGGGGCGGCGCCAGGGGGGGGGGGGGGGGGGCGCGGGGGGGGGGGCGAGGGGGGCGGGGGGGGTGGGGCGGGGGGCGGCGCCGGGGGCGGGGGCGGTGGCATGCAGCCGGGCAGCGCCGCCGTGACCTCGGGCGCCTACCGGGGGGACCCGTCCTCTGTCAAGATGGTCCAGAGCGACTTCATGCAGGGGGCCATGGCCGCCAGCAACGGCGGCCATATGCTGAGCCACGCGCACCAGTGGGTCACAGCCCTGCCCCACGCCGCCGCCGCAGCCGCCGCTGCCGCCGCCGCCGCCGTGGAGGCGAGCTCGCCGTGGTCGGGCAGCGCCGTGGGCATGGCTGGCAGCCCCCAGCAGCCACCGCAGCCGCCGCCACCACCGCCGCAGGGCCCCGACGTGAAGGGCGGCGCCGGGCGGGACGACCTGCACGCGGGCACAGCGTTGCACCACCGCGGGCCGCCGCACCTCGGACCCCCGCCGCCGCCCCCACACCAGGGCCACCCTGGGGGCTGGGGGGCGGCCGCCGCGGCCGCCGCCGCCGCCGCCGCCGCCGCCGCCGTCGCGCACCACCCGTCCATGGCCGGGGGCCAGCAGCCGCCGCCGCAGAGTCTGCTCTACTCGCAGCCCGGGGGCTTCACGGTGAACGGCATGCTGAGCGCGCCCCCAGGGCCCGGCGGCGGCGGCGGCGGCGCGGGCGGTGGAGCCCAGAGCTTGGTGCACCCGGGGCTGGTGCGCGGGGACACGCCGGAGCTGGCCGAGCACCATCACCACCACCACCACCACGCGCACCCGCACCCGCCGCACCCGCACCACGCGCAGGGACCCCCGCACCACGGCGGCGGCGGCGGCGGCGCGGGCGGTGGAGCCCAGAGCTTGGTGCACCCGGGGCTGGTGCGCGGGGACACGCCGGAGCTGGCCGAGCACCATCACCACCACCACCACCACGCGCACCCGCACCCGCCGCACCCGCACCACGCGCAGGGACCCCCGCACCACGGCGGCGGCGGCGGCGGCGCGGGCGGTGGAGCCCAGAGCTTGGTGCACCCGGGGCTGGTGCGCGGGGACACGCCGGAGCTGGCCGAGCACCATCACCACCACCACCACCACGCGCACCCGCACCCGCCGCACCCGCACCACGCGCAGGGACCCCCGCACCACGGCGGCGGCGGCGGCGGCGCGGGCGGTGGAGCCCAGAGCTTGGTGCACCCGGGGCTGGTGCGCGGGGACACGCCGGAGCTGGCCGAGCACCATCACCACCACCACCACCACGCGCACCCGCACCCGCCGCACCCGCACCACGCGCAGGGACCCCCGCACCACGGCGGCGGCGGCGGCGGCGCGGGCGGTGGAGCCCAGAGCTTGGTGCACCCGGGGCTGGTGCGCGGGGACACGCCGGAGCTGGCCGAGCACCATCACCACCACCACCACCACGCGCACCCGCACCCGCCGCACCCGCACCACGCGCAGGGACCCCCGCACCACGGCGGCGGCGGCGGCGGCGCGGGCGGTGGAGCCCAGAGCTTGGTGCACCCGGGGCTGGTGCGCGGGGACACGCCGGAGCTGGCCGAGCACCATCACCACCACCACCACCACGCGCACCCGCACCCGCCGCACCCGCACCACGCGCAGGGACCCCCGCACCACGGCGGCGGCGGCGGCGGCGCGGGCGGTGGAGCCCAGAGCTTGGTGCACCCGGGGCTGGTGCGCGGGGACACGCCGGAGCTGGCCGAGCACCATCACCACCACCACCACCACGCGCACCCGCACCCGCCGCACCCGCACCACGCGCAGGGACCCCCGCACCACGGCGGCGGCGGCGGCGGCGCGGGCGGTGGAGCCCAGAGCTTGGTGCACCCGGGGCTGGTGCGCGGGGACACGCCGGAGCTGGCCGAGCACCATCACCACCACCACCACCACGCGCACCCGCACCCGCCGCACCCGCACCACGCGCAGGGACCCCCGCACCACGGCGGCGGCGGCGGCGGCGCGGGCGGTGGAGCCCAGAGCTTGGTGCACCCGGGGCTGGTGCGCGGGGACACGCCGGAGCTGGCCGAGCACCATCACCACCACCACCACCACGCGCACCCGCACCCGCCGCACCCGCACCACGCGCAGGGACCCCCGCACCACGGCGGCGGCGGCGGCGGCGCGGGCGGTGGAGCCCAGAGCTTGGTGCACCCGGGGCTGGTGCGCGGGGACACGCCGGAGCTGGCCGAGCACCATCACCACCACCACCACCACGCGCACCCGCACCCGCCGCACCCGCACCACGCGCAGGGACCCCCGCACCACGGCGGCGGCGGCGGCGGCGCGGGCGGTGGAGCCCAGAGCTTGGTGCACCCGGGGCTGGTGCGCGGGGACACGCCGGAGCTGGCCGAGCACCATCACCACCACCACCACCACGCGCACCCGCACCCGCCGCACCCGCACCACGCGCAGGGACCCCCGCACCACGGCGGCGGCGGCGGCGGCGCGGGCGGTGGAGCCCAGAGCTTGGTGCACCCGGGGCTGGTGCGCGGGGACACGCCGGAGCTGGCCGAGCACCATCACCACCACCACCACCACGCGCACCCGCACCCGCCGCACCCGCACCACGCGCAGGGACCCCCGCACCACGGCGGCGGCGGCGGCGGCGCGGGCGGTGGAGCCCAGAGCTTGGTGCACCCGGGGCTGGTGCGCGGGGACACGCCGGAGCTGGCCGAGCACCATCACCACCACCACCACCACGCGCACCCGCACCCGCCGCACCCGCACCACGCGCAGGGACCCCCGCACCACGGCGGCGGCGGCGGCGGCGCGGGCGGTGGAGCCCAGAGCTTGGTGCACCCGGGGCTGGTGCGCGGGGACACGCCGGAGCTGGCCGAGCACCATCACCACCACCACCACCACGCGCACCCGCACCCGCCGCACCCGCACCACGCGCAGGGACCCCCGCACCACGGCGGCGGCGGCGGCGGCGCGGGCGGTGGAGCCCAGAGCTTGGTGCACCCGGGGCTGGTGCGCGGGGACACGCCGGAGCTGGCCGAGCACCATCACCACCACCACCACCACGCGCACCCGCACCCGCCGCACCCGCACCACGCGCAGGGACCCCCGCACCACGGCGGCGGCGGCGGCGGCGCGGGCGGTGGAGCCCAGAGCTTGGTGCACCCGGGGCTGGTGCGCGGGGACACGCCGGAGCTGGCCGAGCACCATCACCACCACCACCACCACGCGCACCCGCACCCGCCGCACCCGCACCACGCGCAGGGACCCCCGCACCACGGCGGCGGCGGCGGCGGCGCGGGCGGTGGAGCCCAGAGCTTGGTGCACCCGGGGCTGGTGCGCGGGGACACGCCGGAGCTGGCCGAGCACCATCACCACCACCACCACCACGCGCACCCGCACCCGCCGCACCCGCACCACGCGCAGGGACCCCCGCACCACGGCGGCGGCGGCGGCGGCGCGGGCGGTGGAGCCCAGAGCTTGGTGCACCCGGGGCTGGTGCGCGGGGACACGCCGGAGCTGGCCGAGCACCATCACCACCACCACCACCACGCGCACCCGCACCCGCCGCACCCGCACCACGCGCAGGGACCCCCGCACCACGGCGGCGGCGGCGGCGGCGCGGGCGGTGGAGCCCAGAGCTTGGTGCACCCGGGGCTGGTGCGCGGGGACACGCCGGAGCTGGCCGAGCACCATCACCACCACCACCACCACGCGCACCCGCACCCGCCGCACCCGCACCACGCGCAGGGACCCCCGCACCACGGCGGCGGCGGCGGCGGCGCGGGCGGTGGAGCCCAGAGCTTGGTGCACCCGGGGCTGGTGCGCGGGGACACGCCGGAGCTGGCCGAGCACCATCACCACCACCACCACCACGCGCACCCGCACCCGCCGCACCCGCACCACGCGCAGGGACCCCCGCACCACGGCGGCGGCGGCGGCGGCGCGGGCGGTGGAGCCCAGAGCTTGGTGCACCCGGGGCTGGTGCGCGGGGACACGCCGGAGCTGGCCGAGCACCATCACCACCACCACCACCACGCGCACCCGCACCCGCCGCACCCGCACCACGCGCAGGGACCCCCGCACCACGGCGGCGGCGGCGGCGGCGCGGGCGGTGGAGCCCAGAGCTTGGTGCACCCGGGGCTGGTGCGCGGGGACACGCCGGAGCTGGCCGAGCACCATCACCACCACCACCACCACGCGCACCCGCACCCGCCGCACCCGCACCACGCGCAGGGACCCCCGCACCACGGCGGCGGCGGCGGCGGCGCGGGCGGTGGAGCCCAGAGCTTGGTGCACCCGGGGCTGGTGCGCGGGGACACGCCGGAGCTGGCCGAGCACCATCACCACCACCACCACCACGCGCACCCGCACCCGCCGCACCCGCACCACGCGCAGGGACCCCCGCACCACGGCGGCGGCGGCGGCGGCGCGGGCGGTGGAGCCCAGAGCTTGGTGCACCCGGGGCTGGTGCGCGGGGACACGCCGGAGCTGGCCGAGCACCATCACCACCACCACCACCACGCGCACCCGCACCCGCCGCACCCGCACCACGCGCAGGGACCCCCGCACCACGGCGGCGGCGGCGGCGGCGCGGGCGGTGGAGCCCAGAGCTTGGTGCACCCGGGGCTGGTGCGCGGGGACACGCCGGAGCTGGCCGAGCACCATCACCACCACCACCACCACGCGCACCCGCACCCGCCGCACCCGCACCACGCGCAGGGACCCCCGCACCACGGCGGCGGCGGCGGCGGCGCGGGCGGTGGAGCCCAGAGCTTGGTGCACCCGGGGCTGGTGCGCGGGGACACGCCGGAGCTGGCCGAGCACCATCACCACCACCACCACCACGCGCACCCGCACCCGCCGCACCCGCACCACGCGCAGGGACCCCCGCACCACGGCGGCGGCGGCGGCGGCGCGGGGCCTGGACTCAACAGCCACGACCCGCACTCGGACGAGGACACGCCGACGTCGGACGACCTGGAGCAGTTCGCCAAGCAGTTCAAGCAACGGCGCATCAAGCTGGGCTTCACGCAGGCCGACGTGGGGCTGGCGCTGGGCACGCTCTACGGCAACGTGTTCTCGCAGACCACCATCTGCCGCTTCGAGGCCCTGCAGCTGAGCTTCAAGAACATGTGCAAGCTCAAGCCGCTGCTGAACAAGTGGCTGGAGGAGGCGGACTCAAGCACAGGCAGCCCCACAAGCATCGACAAGATCGCGGCGCAGGGCCGCAAGCGCAAGAAGCGGACCTCTATCGAGGTGAGCGTCAAGGGCGCGCTGGAGAGCCACTTCCTCAAGTGCCCCAAGCCCTCCGCGCAGGAGATCACCAACCTGGCCGACAGCCTGCAGCTCGAGAAGGAGGTGGTGCGGGTCTGGTTCTGCAATCGGCGCCAAAAGGAGAAGCGCATGACGCCGCCCGGGATCCAACAGCAGACGCCCGACGACGTCTACTCGCAGGTGGGCACCGTGAGCGCCGACACGCCGCCGCCGCACCACGGGCTGCAGACGAGCGTGCAGTGAAGCCAGGGCGCAGCGCGAAGAGGGCCGCCGCCGCCGCCTCCGCAGCCGCCGTCAGCACCGCCGCCGCCCCCGCCGCCGCCGCCGCCGCCGCCGCCGCCGTTGCCGCTGCCGCTGCGCCGACCCTGCACCTGGGCCGCTCCGGGCTCCAGCCCAGGCCCATCCTCCGCCCTCCCCTCCACCCAGAGACAGGCATGCCCGCCCTTGGAGGAGAGAACGCGGGAGAGACAGACCAAGGAGGCATTTTTACAGTGCAAGGAAGGAGGGGCCAAAAAGTAAAAAGCATAATAAACACCCAGACTGTTTTATATACATGTATAACAAACAAAACCGGAAGAGAAAAAGGGGGCGATCATGAGATCTCGTTTATACTGTGGTGGTGTTTCGTTTTTGTTTTTGTTTTTAAAGAAGGGTGAAGATGCCTGACGCACCAAAACTGCACTCGTGAGGTTTTACCACCCTGAGATGACCTACACGGCAGCGGTGGACAGCACCTGCCTCGTCTTCTCCTCTTTGATAAAAAGAGAGAGAGAGTCCCCTTTCCTTTCACTTTCTCTCCCCAAAATAGCTGCCTAAAGAGATCCACGGAAACTTTATTTCCTGGGAGCGACCTGAGAGAAAACAGAGGCACCAGGTTCCATCAGGGGACGACACCGTGCTCTGGGACCCTGTTTTTCTTGGCCATATTAAAGTCATTTGGAAACAAACGAATCAACTCTGAAATGGGAAGGAGGGGGAAAGAAAACAGTCTCCAGGAAAAAAATAATTATATTGACAGCTTCTGAAACTAACAGACTGAATAGCAAAGCCAAAAGAAAAGTATCCTCAAAGTAACCTTGGAAATAAAAGCATCGGGAAGGAGCAGAGGGAGAGGGGGACGTCCGCTGAGGAGTGGCGAGAGGCCCCGGCCGAGTCGGGTCGCAGGCGGGCGGGCGGACTGGGAGCAGATCGGGGGCCCAGCCAGCAAGGCCGCCGAGCCAGGCCCGGCCGCGTAACCAGGCTTTGACGGCTGCCATTCAGGGTGGACGATGCCTAAAGATTCCACCGCTAATATTTTTTTTATTAATATTTTTATTTTTTATTTCTGGACTGACTCAGATAAAGGAATTTAGAAAGACTGAGCACCAGCCGCCGCACTTCTCTGGACTTCTCTCCTCAATCCGTTGCCAACTTTGATTGAATGGGTGCTGTGGATGTGATTATATAATACTGCCATTTCCAAGCAGTGTTTTTGGTAGGTTTTAATAAACAGACTTTTCAAAAGACGGCAATATAGAATTGTTAGATCCGTTGTTGATCTAAAAATATTTGCTTTATATTTTCATTAAATGACTTCTTTTAATATTTTATTCAGAATACTTATGAACTGCTGCAAAACGGTAATTTATTTTTCCCCAGATCTTGTATTACGTGTTTTTTTCAGACGAGCACAAATCAAAATGAAATGAAAATATGGACAGTTGTTAGGTAATAAGGGTATCTTTTGATGTGATCATTTGATTGTAATTTAATTTGAGTAGTGATTCCGTAAGAGCTGATCGAGAAAATAAATTTGTTAGAATGAAATAGTCTGTGTCTGATGCGTAAACACTGTGTGGGAAGAAAAGAGTTCTTTAAGAAATATTTTTTTACTAATGAAAATCCTTAAGTAATAGCGTTGAGGAAGTAGAGCCTGCTCCACTTAAGGTACTTTTGGAAATCTAGAGTAAAGCATAGGCATTGCTGAGACAGCTAGTATTTTAACATAGTAGTCACTCCTCGTTAATCCATAAATTCACAGTATTTTTCTCTCCCTTAATTTTAGTGGATGTCTTTAGTGTTTTTAGGTGAGATTGCCTAACTATTAAGCCTTTTCTTGGAGATACCTGTGTTTCTTATCGGAAGATTGAACGATATCACCAGTAAAAATGAGCCAACTGGTTATTAATGGTTAATACAGCCCCTCCCCCCAAGTTCAGCTTCTTTTTTCTTCTCCTGCCCCCCTCCCAACATGTTCCTCTTTTCTCTTTTTCTCAAGACTATAGTTGTTAAGAGTTGCCTATAAGTCTTATAAAATATTTTGATATCAATTACTTCCCGTCAATAACTATATGTAATTAAATTTAAATTATTAAGCTTTTGGGGATTTTTTTTCCCCCTGTAATGAAAGAATATAGTTCTAAAATCCTGATTATGGTCCACACTGCATATCGTCTGTGCAATCACCAACTCAGACTTAAGGTTCTATATTTCTGTGTTTTTTTCTCTCCCCAGTATGATTCTAGATCTTCTTTACTGGTGCTGGGGATTTTAGTTTTTAGGTCACCTTTTACCTAAACCCTGCAGAGTGGTCACATTGATCAAGTTAATGTTTCAATATTTGCAATGTGGGGAAATGAAAGTGTAATGCCTCAGGTTGTGAGTACTTAAGACGCTAAAGGCTCTGCTTAGTTGAGTCCCTATATATTGTACTTAAAAAAAAAAAAAGTATTTAGCAGTGATAGAGCAATGATTTTATAGACCAATTTCCCTCAATCTCACTTAGCTGTCACTCACTTTTTTTCCTTCTTCTCTCATCTTCACTCCCTCTCCCTGTGATACCAATGCAGGGATTAAAAAACCCTGAAAACTGTGAGACCAGCAAGGAACAGTTATTTCTCCCAGACAGGCCCTGTGTCACTTTCATAAATCAAGCCCAGCCAGATGGCCATGTATTGGGTTGCATTATTTTAAACACCAAATCCTACTAAAAATCACAATCATTTTGATTTGTGAAATCTGAAAAAGGCCACATATATTAAACAGAGAGAGAAGACAAGAAACCACAATTTACTTTTCTCTGCCTTCTTGTTCCCTATTTCTCTTGCTGCTGTAATCCCTATGCCCAGCAAATTTACAACCTGGAGTGGGGGTGGGGGAGAAGTTCACCATGTTGGGGGTGTCTAGAGAGGCAAGCAAAGAAGTCCTCGTGGAAAGCTGAGGACTGGTCAGGTTGTTTTTATGTGGTGGATACTACTGGCACGTGAGATGGAATCTTGTTTTTCCTATGGGAATGGTGGTGGTTGATTAGACAAGTAATGGGTCTATTAAAAAAATTTTGGGAGGTATCTACTTACTTGATTTAGCTGACAACAAAAGAGCTAACATTAGATTTCACACTGTTTTCTATTAAAAAGCAAACTTTGCTGATTAACTTTGGAAGAATCCCTGATTTGGGGGTAGCAGAGTAACTTTTAATTGGAGAAGCTAGGAAAGCAAACCCATTTTGTTTCATTATTTGCATTTTATAAAGTGAGCTAATGCTTGCACTCCATTTTTTTAATCAACCCTTTGAATGTAATTACAAAATGAAATTCATGGTTGAAAAACAAAAGAGGGCAGATATAACTGAGAGGTTTTGTGCTAAGGCTTATATTGTTACACATGTAAATAATGAAAATATTGTTATATATCACCAGATCTTTTTAATGAATTTGGTCATTGTGTTCCTTTGCAGCGCAAGTGTCTTGTGCTTCGTAAAGCGCCCATTTGTTTCCTCCATTTCAATCCAACCCCCCCTCCCCTTCCAACCCAAAGGAAAGTGACAAAGTTCTGTTCCATCAGCCTTGCTAATCCCAAGCTAGGCCCACTTACAGTTTACAGTCTCCTGTGGCTCTTGATCAGTTGTCCAAGCCTCCGTCGGTCACCTCACCGCCACAACCATTTTCCCCTGGCAAGTTTGTGCGATAAATCATTCAAGGTGTATTGAAAATAGTCACTTTGCTGTTGTTGCTCTGAATTTTTTTTTTTTTTTAGTACTTAGCCAAGGACTACTTCTTTGTTCCAGGTAGAACTGTTCATTATTGATCTTAGCGATTGCCTCTGCTGCCCTATAGCCTCCAGTGTTTGCTCATGACCATGCTCATAATCTGTTTTGTATGAATGGTTTTGAACATTCAGAGAATAATTGGTTCTAATATTAAATGCAGTATATACTATTGATAGTTTTATCGATAAGTGTAATATTTTAAATAATTTTAACAATTAAATTTGTTTTTTAAATTATATATTTGTAAAGTATTTATCCTGTTGAAAGCAACAATATATTGTTGTATTTATTCGTTTATTTTTGTAATAAATGATCAACCTCTTCAAGCTAAATCAAAAATGATACTTTTATATATTTATACAAAAATGTACTTTAAGAGATGGGCATATTTGCACTAATTTGTATGTAAATTGAGTAAAATCCATTAATAACTTGTAGCTTTCAGTACTAAATTGAAGGAAGAAACATTCTCTCCACATGGAGTGTAGTTTGCCCAAGTTCCAGGGTAATTAATCAACTCTAAAATGGATGCAACAAGTATTGGCACTGGATGCAGACTTGAAATTAATTATTTAAAAGGTGGACCTGATTGTTTTTTTAAGGCAGAAAGACAGAAATTAAAGAATTTGCTTCTTTCATGAAATGCACGTGACTGGCTGCAACCATTAGAGCAGATGCTGTGTTTCAGTGATATCCTAATACCTGACTGTGCTCAGACATCTATGTTGGGAAAGGGAGTTGTAATAAGAGTTGGGAGTTTGCGGTGACCCAGAAGCAAGGTGATGTGAAAAAAGAAGAGTTGTGCTATACTGAAGAAAAAACTTTTGATGATCCATAAAATGACTGTGAGTGGAGAAGCCCTTTGTCCTAGTCCAGCTACTAACAGCATAAGCAATCAGCACAGGTGTTGTTGTTGTTGTTGTTGTTGTTGCTGCTGCTGCTGCTGCTGTTGTTAAGAGTGATGCATTTGAGAAGTGTGAGGCAACCCCTCAGGCTCTCCAAGTTCTATAGGTCAGTTGGTCATCTCAGCTCCTCAGGGCTGCTGATCTGAGGGCCTGAAGTTCACCCATGTGACCTCCTGGGTGCGGGATCCCCATGGCAGGCTTGACATTGATTTCAATAAGGAAAGCAGAGGGCTCTGCGTTTGCATCCTGAACTTTGTAGCCTAGGAAAGGAAATAGTGCGCAGGCTGGAGGAGCTGGGGGTGGGGGCGGCGGAGATAGCAGGACGGGTACTTGTGTAATCAGATTCTTTGATTTTGTTAGCCTGGCTCATGGCCTATTAATTAGATTACTCTCTCTTTCATTCTTGATTTCACATCCGTGTTTGTTCCTGTATCCTAAAATATGGGCGCGAGCTTGGCGAGCAGGAGCCTATGATGTCACTGCCGGCCAGAGGCGGCCGCCTGGCCTTCTGGCGGGCTGTGGGCTGCGTTCTTGATGAGTCCGGTCTTCCTCAAGGAAGAGTTGGCTCTGGAAGTGACCTCAGAGGGGTCTGGGAAGAGGGCAACAGTCATTCTCGTGGCGGCACGATGTGTGCGCTGGTGTGTGCGCGCGCGTGCCGTGTGCATGTGGGTGCGCGTGAGCGGAGGGGAATGCGGAAATTCGCAGTCTGGACCCCGAAGCCCTAGGGGTACGGGCGACTGGGTCAGGTGGAAGGCCTGCCTCCGGTGAAAATCCGGGATCAGAAGAGGCGGAGGGGGAGGGGGACCCGAGGCAGCCGGGCGTCCAAAGCTCGCTTCTCTCCGGGAGGGAGGGCAGGGCTGGGCGCGGAGGTGGGGCGGTGGCGGTCGCGGTGGGGCGGCCGGGTCCCTGCTCGGCCCGGCACGGCCGGGCGGCCAGACTGTGGCAGCTGCTGCGGGTCCCACAAGTTGTTTTCCTCGTGGCGACCATTCAGCAAAACGCACGAACCTTTCTCAAAGATTTAAATTTCGCGGATGAATTACCATACACCGGTTGCTTAGCAACTAAATTCAAGCAGGGCTAAGAATATGCAAGCTTTTTGTATTCTCATTAATAAAAATGCCACTCTGACACAGCAACCCGACTTTGGATCACTGCAACTTCTGTAAAAGCCGTAGGAGAATACAAACCGATCCTGCCTTTCAATTACAGATCAAAATGGCTTGAAACGCGATGTTTTGTTCATCTATCTTCCTAAAAAGCGATGTAAAAAATAACGGCTTTCAAGAGCAGTAGTAAATTCTTTTTTTTTTTTTTTTAATGGAGTTGTCTATCGGGGTTACTGATAATTGTCAACTGAACCCTTTTGAAACACAGGTTTAAATAAACCTTTTCATAAACGTTTCCACTCTCTCCCTCAGTCCCTCCTACCCTCTGATCCTGTTCTTCCCCAGCCTCGTAATAACAATTATTATTATTATTATTCTGGAAACACTCAGGCTTGGGGAACCCTAGAGACTAAAGGGCAGTCAGCAGAGTAATAAGCAAACCTGGGGGCTGGAGAAAGTCCAAGGAATTGAGGAGCCAGGGAAAGGGAAACTTCTGAAAGTTTCCTTGGAAGGTTGAGGGAGTTGCTGGAGGCTGGAGTCGGCTCAGGTCCCAGAGGTTCTGGCGATAACTTTCTGGGGGGCTTGTGGAAAGAAAGGTAGAAATGCTTGTGGGTCTCTGCGCGACGTTTGCGGATTTTCCGTTCTGGGGTGCATCCTCCTCCCGGGAGAGTTGAGTTGCCGCCCCCGCTGCTGACGGTGGAGTTCCGAGGGGCTGAGTTCAAGGCCTGGCTGACTCGGACTCTCTCTGAAATCCACCTCTCTGCTGCC